AATATGACCCGGTTGATTTCCTTTATTATAGATGATTTATAGCTACTCAGACTTTATCTTCCGTTATAATTATAAACTTTTTAATTACCTACTTTTTCAGTCTCTTAATTTGGTTGAGTCATAGATCATTTAATTCTTTTGCATAAAACTGTTTTCTTTTATTGTCACACATAGTCTTGTAAAAGGTTTTGTTCTGTAACAGTTTTTGTGTTTTTAGATGTAGTGACATTTTCTTCAGATCTGATACTTCAATAGCTTCTTTACATTTTGTATTTCTGACGTTATCAATCCAGTTAATCGTTATCAAACCATTTTGAATATGCCGTTTTTATTTTGTTGAAAAATCCTGCCAAACACTGCATTGTTGTGCTAAATAAACAGTTGCTGCATTTCATTTTAAACAGGGTTCGTGATTTGGAAGGAATTGTTATACATATACGTTAAATTGATTACGGTGCATTGAAATTCATTGTATCCTACGGATCTACTTGATCTTACTGGATCCAGTTGACTTTCGGAAATAGATTTATAGTTCTCTGGTCCCAATCAGTGAAGAAGACAATAAAAATGTCATCGTTGATTTGTGAGACATGATAACAGAGAACAAACTCTATATATGCAAATATTGAGCCTGTTTCAATGTGTAGTGCAGTTTGTGACTGTATATAAACACGGGGGAGGAAGTGTTACACGAAGGATGGAGTTCTTATGATAACATGTTTAGGAGCTCTTGTGATAACTGTCACGGAGTTCGTCGGAAAACATCTGTATATATTACAAAAACACTCGTTAAAAATGGTTATTTTTATAATTCCAAAATGAGTTTTAGGTGTTAAATTAAACTTTAATGATTAAGCTTGTCTTACATCTTGTATTATGTGTCAAAAACTAATTCACAGGCTGTTTTTCATCGCCTCTTGCTTCAAATCTGGTAGTTTTGAGTAAAATTTCCAAATTACTTGCCAATTCACAAGTTTTGACCTGTTTATTTCTGGTCTTCATCCTTGCCATACATAATTACCTAATGATAATGCAAAATTGCAAACATAAAGCACCGGCTAACAGATTTATACCTGATTTTTCAAATGTCCCGGAGTTCTTGTGATAACTCTGAAGTGTCACAGAGTTCTTATGATAACTTTTGTTAATAGTTATTGCCAGTGTGTTTCTTGCGCTAAATCACGGCACGTTTTGGCTTGTTTTATAAATTCAATGAGACTGTAAATCATCATGAAATGCAGTACGCTCATCCTTTGCACAAAAATGTGGATAAAACTTTGGTCTTAACTGTCTGCAAAGGATAAATATGTGATAGGCTATCGTCTACAGTAAAAATTGAACCAGCGGCTACTGATATTCAGCAGTATAATGGCTTAAAATAGAGAAAATAAGAATCCCTAAAGAAAGCCCAACACGTCAAAATTGAAATTGTTGCAGGCTCGGTTTGATTGAGCCTGTACATGGACGGTAATGTTAAGTGCAAACTACCGTCCACGCCCACTAGCACCGGCTTAAGCAGAATTCAACATTTAAACACGAAAATGGTGAAATTTTGAATTTAGAAGCATCCGCAGATGTGTTCATACGGCGGTTATCATGGAACCTTCAATGTGACACAGTAGTGCCATTTCATGAAAAGCGGCGTATGGCCCCCAAGTAATAAAAAGCTTGTGCCCTAAACGAGAAAACAATGGGCGGAACTAAATAAAATGGAATTTTGAAAGGGGATCAGAGGTTATGAAGCCTGCATATCACAGATAAGACGTCAAAAGACAAAGTTAAAAAGCAGGCAACATATCCTAAGAGTGATTCAACATTATTCATGTAGGAATATTGGAACCACCCAATTTTGAAACCACTAAACAAAAATGTCTCAAAACGTACACGTTGTTTTCAGTTTCACATTTTTTAAGCAACCACCTTTCTTAAGCAGACAATATATAGGAATGCTTCCCTTACCTAAGGGCTAAGTAATTTGTATCATTTTATACCATAATAAATAAGTATATAACCATGGGCATTCAAACTAGAATTCCCCAGGTGTTGTTTGTAAGTGTCCGTGTTCTCTAATGTAACTTAAAACAACAGACAAAACTTTGAAACATATTTATCGCTGTACTATTATAACTGATAATTTACATAGAAAACAAATGTTTCTCTGATTGATGCAGTAACATAGATGCTTAACTGAGAAAACATATACTGTATGCCTGGATGAAAATGGTAAAGGGCAAGACAACTGCTAGGGGCCGGAAACTGCTAGGAAACCAGTACATAAATCCTTTTTCCAGTCTACGAAATCTGCGTCAAACAACAAAAAAATGCTATGAAAAAGAAACGGGGGTAAGAAATAATATCTCTTGAACTAAAATTCACTCAAAACCATTATTATATATCCTATTTTTTGCGCAAAGGATGAGCGTACTACATTTCATAATGATTTACAATCTCATTGAATAATAAAACACGCCAAAACGTGCCGTGATTTAGCGCAAAAAACACACTGGCAATAACAAAACTTATCATAAGAACACTGTGACATCTTCAGAGTTATCACAAGAATTCCGGGACATTTGAAAAATCAGGTATAAATCTGTTAATAGGTGTTTTATGTTTGCAATTTTGCATTATCATTAGGTAATTATGTATGGCAAGGATGAAGACCAGAAATAAACAGGTCAAAACTTGTGAATTGGCAAATAATTTGGAAATTTTACTCAAAACTACCAGATTTAAGCAAGAGCCTGTGAATTAGTTTTTGACACATAATACAAGATATAAGGCAAGCTTAATCATTTAAGTTTAATTTAACACCTAAAACTCATTTTGGAATGATGAAAATAATCATTTTTAACGAGTATTTTTGTGGTATATACAGATGTTTTCCGACGAAATCCGTGACAGTTATCACAAGAACTCCTGAACAAGTTATCATAAGAACTCCATCCTTCGTGTAACACTTCCTCCCCCGTGATAAAGCTGTTCTGAAACCATCATTTTTGTGATGGTGGATGAGCAGTAGCTATGCTTTCATGACTGTTCTGCTAGGCGCTGTGGCGTAATTGGACTGGCATATCGATGTGGTGGTAAGTGTGCATATATATTCTTCTCATATATATATATATAGGTAATTCTGTATTTAATGCCCATGGAAACCCCAACATAATACTTATTCCAGATTAAGTATTTTACCGAAGTATTAGATTCGCATTAAGGTAAGAATAGTATGGTCTTGTTTTTGTGCTATCAGAGAAAGGAAGGAGTTATTAACATAATGTGCACTCTTTCAAGATATTTCCGAATTTGTAAAAAGACAATTTTGAAAAGAAAGAAGAAGAGATGAGTTTTGCGATGACCCCGGAAGATGCGTTAAAATTCCGTATTCATTGAATACAGGTATAACTTCCTTCACAATACGACGACATTTAACAGCTGTTCAGTAAACATAAATGCATCGAATAATATTTCAGTTTAAACATGTCATTAGTTTAAACCACTGCATAACAATTAAACTAAAAACTAAAACAATTAAATCTCCGTATTTTGGAACATTTGAATTATTGAATAATTACATTGCATATATGTTATGCAGATTTCAAATGATAATTTTCATGCAAACAATACATATATATCAATAAAAGTTAAAACAAAACACTTTAAGGACTTATATACAAGAACTTTGCATCGACTTATTCAAATTTGCTTTGCTTTAATAGATTGAATTAAGAGCACAATGTAAGATAATTTACTCTACTAGTATATGAAACAAGTAGATTTTGTCATTTTATGCCATAGAAATGATTAGTTTAAACAATATTTTATTTATAAGTATTACATTTACATGATAATTGACAAGTAATAAATAGTACGGATTGAGTAGTAAGCTTGAAAGCTTTTTTAAAAACTCTTTCCGTAATCACTATCTCAAACAGTATGTAAAATGGTAACAATTATATGCATTTTTGAGTTAAATATACATAACATTTTCACTATAAACTTGCTTCTTTACATATACAGGAAAGTTAGCAATTTACACTCTGGTTTTCCTAATCGAAACGACCTTAATAATAGAATATTGACATAAAAATGTGAAAGAAAACCCTATAGTTCTATAGCATAAATACACGTAAGTGATAAATGCACAGATTAGCACGTTTAAACTTTTCAAGAAAAATAATAGAACTTTTAAGCATGTTTTAAAAAAAAATTTAAAGAAAAATAAAGAAATGGAAACGTTAGTTAATTGTTGAAATTGTTGGGATGGTAGGAAATAAGAGACAGATTTGAGAGAAAGAAAAAGAAAGACAACAGGAATGGTCACTAAAATACTATGGAGTTGATGGAACGAGTTTACAATGAAATGATTCTATTCTTATTTCTCAAGTTTGTGGGCGTGTGTGTGTGTGTGTGTGTGTGTGTGTGTGTGTGTGTGTGTGTGTGTGTAGCAGATGTGAATTTTAACAAGTTATTAAATTCTTAACTTTTCATTATTTATCATTTTTTAAAACATGATGGGTCTTTAAATCATTTATTGAATCCAACGTGGTGGGTCTTTAAAGTTCGTAAAGGTGAACTGTAATCAATATTTCCCTCGGGCTTTCCTTATTGTTGATTGGCTCTTTCGTTTTGTCTCGTCCAATCGGAACTTGCGTTTCAATGGCTTGTGGTCACATGGTATAGCATTGCGGGAGAAGCCGCCATGTTTAACTTCAGAGGTGAGTTGTTGTAAATGGTCGTGTGTTGATTAAATTAAAATTTGTACGGTTTTGATATAAATTTGATAGGTTGGATATAGGATTGAGGTTGGTATAAGGTTTGTACTTTGTACTGGTTGTATGACATTGTGGATTGTTCGGCTGTTGATGTTGTATATTGTTATTTCTTCGCGTTTCAATTGTCGGTTTTGACACTCGCGAAAAAGCATTGTAATTGCTGGTCTACAACTGCCATTTTACTTCTTATTAACATCTTGCATGAATATGACTAATTTAACATTACAGCACAGTAATTATTCACAGTGTGACAGTTGACAGTGGAGTGGAGTTGAGTGTTTTGTCAGGGTTTTGTCAGGGTACTTGTTTTACAAACAAGGTATGTAACTGTTGTATAATATTGTTGTTGTAAACATCATATTGTAAAATATTATTTAAGCCTATTCTGGACTTGTTAATTAACATTTATTTAAAGGTACAGACCACTACACCACAAGACATCATCACTATTTGATATTTTAATCTTTAATCTTATTATTTTGATGTAAAGTATTATAAAGTTTATGGTTGTAATGTTTGTATTGTTCTGGATTCATAGGATAAGGATACAGTTATTAACTTACAGTTAATTAAGTAATGTATAATGCTATTTGCATATTGAATAACTTAATATTGTATTTTGTATCATATTTGACTAGGATATCTCTTTGATATCTTGTACATTTGATATCATTGATATCAAATGGTGAACACTTTTTGTTTAACTATTGTTTCAGATCCAGACAGTACAGTATTATATGGTATTGTACAGTGATATACAGACTTGTTAATAAATATTTGTATGTCTTTGAGTGGACCCACTGGTAAATAAAGCAGAAATATATGTGAACCAATCCAATACTTGGTTTTATGTAAAACCCCAATCTGCTAGAATAGTCCAGTTTTTAACATTTTTTTTCTTTCATTTTTTATTTTTCGGCAAAATAGTGATTTAGTATTTTGTATGAACATCAAAATACTACTAAGTTTTCATTTTGCTACGTAAAACTATTTCACGTTTATTTATAACTTCATCAGGTCAAAAGCACCCACATACTCTAAAACCATTATTTAAATGTTATAAAATTCATATTTGTCATGTCAATAAAGGTAAATATTTATTTTGTGCTTCTGTGGCATAATTTGCTTTTAATAAACTGGAATGGAATACGTCGTACAAATATCTTAAATTGATATTTGTTTCGCCTTCTAGTGACTGAAAAATTCCAATGAAAGGTCAACAAAGAAAGACAAATAGCACAAATCATAATGATTGAAGAAAATGACTGGAATATAGGACGTGAGTGTCACTTAATATTGGTGCAACTTTGAAAACGAACAAGCCTCAATATGATACAGAAACACGTCATTGTTTGTTTGTTTGTTGTTTTTTCTTGTTGTTGTTTTAGCTCACCTGTCACAAAGTGACATGGTGAGCTTTTGTGATCGCTTTTCGTCCGGCGTCCGTCCGTCCGTCCGTAAACTTTTACTTTAAATGACATCTCCTCATAAACCACTGAGCCAATTTCATCCAAACTTCACAGGAATGTTCCTTTGGTGGTCACCTTTAAAAATTGTTCAAAGAATTCAATTCCATGCAGAACTCTGGTTGCCATGGCAACCGATAGAAAAAAATTAAATTATGTTCTTTTAAAAAACTCAAAGAGGTAGAACTTAGATATTTGGCATAAAACATCTTCTAGTGAGTGTCTGTCAAGTTTGTTCAAATAAAAGCCCTGGGGTCAAAATTGGCCCCGCCCCGGGGGTCATTGATTTTCCCTATATGCATATAGTAAAAACTTAAAAAATCTTCTTTTAAAGAACCCAAAGAGCTAGAGCTAAGATATTTAGCATGAAACATCTTCTAATAGGTGTCTACTAAGTTTGTTCAAATAAAAGCCCTGGGGTCAAAATTTGCCCCGCCCCAGGGGATCATTGATTTTCCCTATAAGCATATAGTAAAAACTTATTAAATCTTCTTTTAAAGAACCCAAAGAGCTAGAGCTAAGATATTTAGCATGAAACATGTTCTAATGAGTGTCTACCAAGTTTGTTAAAAAAAAAAGCCCTGGGGTCAAAATTGGCCCCGCCCGGGGGTCATTGATTTTCCCTATATACATATAGTAAAAACTTATAAAATCTTCTATTAAAGAACCCAAAGAGCTAGAGCTAAGATATTTAGCATGAAACATCTTCTCATGGGTGTCTACTAAATTTGTTCAAATAAAAGCCCTGGGGTCAAAATTTGCCCCGCCCCAGGGGGTCATTGATTTTCCCTATAAGCATATAGTAAAAACTTATTAAATCTTCTTTTAAAGAACCCAAAGAGCTAGAGCTAAGATATTTAGCATGAAACATGTTCTAATGAGTGTCTACCAAGTTTGTTAAAAAAAAGCCCTGGGGTCAAAATTGGCCCCGCCCGGGGTCATTGATTTTCCCTATATACATATAGTAAAAACTTATAAAATCTTCTATTAAAGAACCCAAAGAGCTAGAGCTAAGATATTAAGCATGACACATCTTCTAACAGGTGTCTATCAAGTTTGTTCAAATAAAAGCCCTGGGGTCAAAATTGGCCCCGCCCCAGAGGGGTCATTGATTTTCCCTATTATGCATATTAGTAAAAACTTATAAAATATTCTTTTAAAGAACCCAAAGAGCTAGAGCTAAGATATTTAGCATGAACCATGTTCTAATGGGTGCTACAAAATTTTGTTTCAATTAAGAGCCCTGGGGTCAAAGTTTGCCCTGCCCCGGGGGTCATGGATTTTCCATATATGTGTAAAGCAAAAACTTTAATTAAAAATTCTTTGAAAAAAAAAACAAAATAGCTAGAGTTTAGATACTAAGCATGAAACATCTTCTAGTGAGTGTCTACAAAGTTTTTTCAAATAAAAGCCCTTGGGTCAAAATTGACCCTGCGCCGGGGGTCATTGATTTTATTTATGTGTATAGCAAAAACTTCTTTGAAAAAACCCAAATAGCTAGAGTTAAGATATTTAGCATGAAACTTCTTCAAGTTAGTGTCTTCAAAGTTTGTTCAAATAAAGCCCTAGGGTCAAAATTGGCCCTGCCCCGGGGGACATTGATTTTCCTTATATGTGTATAGCAAAAACTTCTTTAAAAAAAACCAGAATAGTTAGAGTTTAGATATCAAGCATGAAACATCTTCTAGTGAGTGTCTCCAAAGTGTGTTCAAATAAAAGCCCTGGGGTCAAAACTGGCCCCGCCCTAGGGGTGGCATTGCTTTTAACTATATGTGTATAGTTAAAACTTAAAAAATGTTTTTTTAAAAACTCAACGAGCTAGTCCTTAGATGTTTAGCGTGAAATATCTTCTAATGGGTGTCTACCAAGTTTGTTCAAATAAAAGCCCTGGGGTTTAAACTGGCCCCGCCCTGGGGGCCTATACAGGTGAGCGACTTCAGGGCCAGCATGGCCCTCTTGTTGTTTTTTTTTTTGTAGTTACTTTTTAATTGAATACAAAAATATAGACTATATTCCGAGGACAATAAACATATGTTTTTTTCATATTTATTTAAAATACGGAACAGTCCATCTTAATACTATGTAGGTAAATGAAATGTTGCACATCTCGGTGATTAAACATTTGACTGATAATTGGAAAAAGTAAGCAATAAACGTCGCAATAGCTCAATCGGTAGAACGCTAAGTTCAGAAAGGAATCTACTCCTCGAAAGGAGGGTAACAGGCTTCAAAGAATTTTTTCTGGTGTGTTTTTTCTTCATGTTTTCCCTTTCATGGACGAAACTATATAACGATTATTTCCTTCCGTTTATTACTATTATTATTGATTTATTTATATTACTTGTAATCGAAGTATCTTTACCTCCTTTTTCCACTATATCATGTTCTTTTTAACTT